CACACACACACACACGCAGTTCCATCTCTTCTCCAAATCTCTCCCACCATGGCCACCAGCCCTAAGATATTTTTTCATGTTTAAAATAGACTTAAGGTTGCAAACTTGCAGTTTAGCCCTAATTCTTAGGATTGAAGAACCTTAATTAATCTAATTTTAGAAAGGTAGTGGTTAGGTTCCTAGCGGCGCATAGAAGCAGCACCAATGGCGAAATCTACGGCTAAAGAAGAAATGACTAAATTTTCTTCTTCTTCATGCCACAAGTTTGCACCATTTCAACCGCACTTAACCAACAAGCAGCAATCAAAGAATTTGGAATAGGTACATTCTGAATGATGTATAGGTGCTTAATAGGTACAAGCCTCAGTTAAGGCGTCTAAATGGAATTTGCTGACAACTTTAAGGGGTTGTCTATGTATTTGGTTTTTTATGTGTATAATGTATCTAACCATCTATATGTTGTCAAATAGGAAAATCGCTAGATGGTTGATATCATCTCTTACTAAGACAAAGCTGAGTGTTATCAGAATATAAGTGGGAGCATAATTGAAAGTAAAGCGAGGAGGCTCTTTCTGAACTTCTCTAAAGTGCCTTAAGGCTTTCAGCCTAAATATGTTTTATTGTTTGTTGAGGCTCCACCATTTGTTTTTCTAAAAGATTTTTCTTCCGATAACTAGTAAATTTTTTGTTAGAAAGGTTTGCTAAGCCGTAAATAGTAGGTATTAATCAATGAACTTTAGGAGCAAGCATCCTCTATTAAGTGCATGCAATTATCTATACAAATAAGAATCCCTTGTATTCTTCAGTTGGAGGCTTTAGAAACTTCTCTCTTTGTCCATAAAAAGAGCATTAACTTCCCTATAATACAGTATTCAATTGCTTCCCAGTCGTTCAGAGTGATTATTGTTAGCTTTGAGTCAGTTATACCTGCAGCTAGCATTCATCTAATTAGCTTTGCTGTAGGGCTGGAAAACATTCTTTGAGGAGCCTGTTATGTTGATTGCTTTCGTCTTGCTGGGAAGAAATCTTGAGCAGAGAGCTAAAATTAAAGCCACAAGCGACATGACAGGCCTTCTCAATGTCTTGCCATCTAAAGCAAGACTTGTAGTCAGTAGCGATTCAGGGGAATCAAGCTCCACTGTTGAAGTTCCTTCTAACAGTCTGTCTGTCGGGGATCAGATCATTGTTTTACCTGGGGTAAGTAAAGATGTGCTTGTCTTCACGTTACATTGTACCTTATTAGGTCTCCCTTGATCTGTTTTCAGTGGTATTGGGACAGTTCTTACTTGAATCGGCTGAGTTGTCGATCTCCCTCCTGTTATCTACTAGCTTAAAAATGAAGCATATTATTTGATCAGTAGAGATATTCTGATCAGAAATAGCAAGCAATAGCAGTTGAATTTACTGATACTTGTTTGTTGAAATTCAGGACCGTGTTCCAGCTGATGGAATTGTCAGAGCTGGTAGAAGCACAATTGATGAATCAAGTTTTACTGGGGAGCCTTTACCTGTAACGAAGTTACCTGGGGTAGTCAACCTATCTTCTCATATCGATAACTACTTTTTTCTTTTAAAATATTGCTTTATGGATGGACAGATATCCAATTTAAACACCATCGTCAATTCCTATAATATCATGATAGATATATTCTTATGAATTAGGCTGAAGTTGCGGCAGGAAGTATAAACCTTAATGGAACACTTACTGTTGAAGTGCGACGACCAGGTGGTGAGACTGCAATTGGGGATATTGTTCAATTAGTAGAAGAAGCACAGAGTAGAGAAGCTCCTGTACAGCGGTTGGCTGACAAGGTTTCCATTTTAAAGCTGTTTTTTCTCCTTATGTACACAATATTTGGCAGTTGGTGGGTTACGTGGTTCACCCAAATGACTGTCTAATATTGTTTGCAAAAGGAATTTTATTTGTAGGCTTGTCCTGAAAAAAGCTTAATTGCTTCCATTAACTAGGTTGCTGGGAATTTTACCTATGGGGTAATGACACTTTCTGCTGCCACATTTATGTTCTGGAACCTTTTTGGTGCTCGCATTCTACCATCCACCCTTTATCATGGAAGTGTAGTTTCGCTAGCGTTGCAGCTCTCATGTACTGTGCTGGTACGTTAATGTATAAACTCATAGGTACTGAGTTGACTTTCAGTAATCACTAACAAGGTTCAAATCTGACTACTGCTGCATCATCCCACAAGATAATTTTTCAAATCTGATTGAGTAATCCTTTATAAAATCTTTTGATTCACTACTGCTGTTTCTGTATTGTTTTTAGTTTCATTGTCTTTTTCTGCATCATGTAAGCATGCTTCTGTCCCATGGTTATACTTCTATCTCTTTGTTTTGCCGTAATTGGCTTCGGGTTTGTGGTTGTAGGTTATTGCCTGTCCATGTGCACTTGGTCTTGCCACTCCTACTGCAGTGATGGTAAAGACATACATATCCTGTAGTGCTGTCATACTAAATCCAGGCATGATCCTAACAGCTGATGCACTACTAATGATTAGACATTTTTGTGTAAAGGTTGGAACCTCACTTGGTGCCACTAAAGGCTTGCTTTTGCGTGGTGGAAGTGTCCTAGAAAGATTCTCAACGGTGAATACAGTTGTTTTTGACAAGACAGGGACACTGACTATTGGTAGACCAACTGTGACCAAAGTGGTGTCTCAAGGTCAAGGCTATCAAGAAGATCCAGATGCAAGGTTGAGTGCAAACTTTAAGTGTATTTATACTACCTCTCTCATGCCTTTATTAGGCGTTTCAAAATGCAATCCACTTTCTTTAAAAGGAACTTCTGATCGTCATCAATATAAAGTTTTTATACATAAGAGTTTATCAAAATGATTGTTTAATAGGCAAAAATGGGTATCCTATAATTTTTGAATTATGTGAACAAAAAAAAATTGAGAAACTCTTAAAATACAATTTTTTCTTTTCTATTCTTAAAACACACAGGGCCCACTTGTTTTCTAATAAATACTAAGCAATTCGTACTTTAACTCTTTCACTTCATAGACATTTCGTGCAAACTAAGACTATTATATTAGGATGAAATGAGTAAACTTTTATGAGCTTCTATAATTCCATCTTTGCGTCCTTCATGTCATGTAGATTTGACTATTCTCTGATAAAAGTATTTTCTGTCAAGGCACTTTAAAACTCTTAATATACTACATTACCGGGAAATGAAGAGTGATTGAAATATGGAAGACTGAATGATGCAAGTTTTATTTATCATTCAGGAAGACTTCTGTTAGTTTTGTTTGCATTGCAGGTCAATCACAGGTATATTAGGTATCCAATTTTTGGGCCATAACAAATAAGGAAATTGCTTTTTCTTTATAGCATTTTCTTTTAACGGAAAAAGGCCAAAACAGCCCTCAGACTATTCGATTTCGTACAAATATGCCCTCGGTCCAGCTATTGAGCCAAAAATGCCTCCACTGTTATCTTTTTGCCTCACTTATGCCCCTATGACTAACGGTCCTATCTAAAAAAAATCAATTAATATCCACGTGTCAACTTCCTATTGGCTGAACTTAAACTCCACTCCAAATAGAATTAAACCCACCCGTATGTGAAGATCCGTAAGTGGATGGAGGATATTATTGTACCAAATCCAATAGTCTAGGGGCTGTTTTGACCCTTTTTCATTTTTTTTATCATCTTCTTCATTTTACATTTACCATTGGAGCCGCCATTTTATCGGAAATGTTCATCAAAAGATCTTAATTTGCACACTCAAATGTCACTTACAGTGGTAATTCTCATTTTCTTTCTCATCATCGTAAGATAATCTAAGAACCCTTTATGAATTCATGGGCTTCAAATTCGCGAATAGTCTAATTTTTCTCTTCATATTTTTTGTGATTTTTGTAAAATCTTAGTAAGATGTTAGACCCAGAAGGTAATTTATTGTAGAAATTGGAACTTTTATGGCCTCATCCTTGAACAAAATCCCATTTTCACAACAAAAAAGGACATTAAATCGAAAAAAATTATAGATTTTCAAATCGGGCCCTTTCGATTAGCATAGCATTCTTGTTATTGTTTGGAAATTGAGGAATGGAGCAAACATGCGAGTCATGGTTGTGGTGTCAGCGTAATTGCTATGGAGGAAAGGGGGTGGTGGCAGCCATGGTAGTGGTAGAGTTGGGAAGATTGAGAAATTAAACTTTTTGGCAATCAAGAGTTTGACCTTTTTTTTTTGGGGCGGGTCGGATTTTTGGGTTGGAAAAGAAAATGGGTTATAGGCGGATATTGGGGTTATGGTTTAAAGTTGGACCAGTAAGAAGTTGCCACGTGTAATTTAAATAACTTTTTTTTTATTTGGTGTTGACTGTTAGTCATAGGGATAAGTGAGTCTGAAAGACAACGGTGGGAGCATTTTTGGCTCAATAGGTGAACGGAAGACATATTTATACCAAATCGAATAGATTGAGGGCAGTTTTGGCCCTTTTCCGTTCTTTTAATAACATGTTATTTTCCTCAATAAACATATGTTAATAAATTGACTTTGTTTGAAGAATAAACTATCTACCGGATAAATTCTTAAGTCTCTCTCTTACCTTCTTTTTGACTTCATACTAAACGAACATCCACAAGAAAAGCATCCAATGTTTGCATTTCCTATTTGTTCTCTCTTAATAAAATGGAGATGGGGTCTCATCAACCCCAAAAACTAGCTCATAAGTTGAGGATTGCCCTAGATTTCAAAGAACCCGTGCTTAACGCTTCCTTCTGAAAGAGAGAAACAGTTCTAACACCCATAGAAATGGCCAAGCCTCTTCCATCTCTTCTTCTTCCTAAATTTCCACCACACCCATCAAGAGCCAAGCTCCCCGCGACCAAACCCCAGTAAATTTCTCCGGCAACCGAGCCCCCACGTGCCACCCACGCGCCTTACTTTCCGGCCAGTCACTGCCACGCGCCGGCGCGTGTGGCCTTTTCAGGCAACTTTTCAAATTTTTTCCTTCAGACAGCCTCTTCGCGAGGCATTTCTGAACCATCCCGTGCCAGTTTCACCAAATTCCGACGACTTTTTCTTTTTCCGGCCTTTAAACCCCAGTTCCTTTTCTCTTTCAGACAGCAGTACGAGGAAACATTCCTCCCTTCTGTCTCCGACCACTGTGAATACTGTTATTCCAACAATTGAGGTTTTTTCGGCCAGCTTTTCCGGGACAGCCGCATTTAGAATATGATGGATTGTACAGAGAGAAGCTCTTTTTTCTCTCTAGAATCCAGAAAACTGGAAAACATGTCGTTTATGAAAGCTGTCTCTTGGCCATCCCTAGAACTTGGGGGAAGATGCCATCGAAAGCTCGACGTAGGACAGGAGCCGCACTTCACGCTGTCCGAGGAGCACACTCTCAGACGCAAGGGTTTCTTGGAATCTAGTCTCATTGGGTCTTTCTCCAAATGGGTTGGTTCTCCGGAGGCTGTTAGAAACTGGGCAGCAGAGGCATGGAACGTCAAGGATGGACTGAAAATATCGCAATTGGGGGACACTCAATATCTCTTTCGTTTTGTTGACAAGTCTCAAGCTTCGGAAATTCTTGTCAGAGGAAACAGGTGGTTCGATGGGAACTTTTTAAATCTAGACAAATGGGTGGAGTATGATGGGTGTCTTGACCCTCGCTTCACTGGCGACACTTTGGTGGTCAACATGGTGGGTCTCCCGGTGCATCTTTGGTGTCTTGACCTATTCAAGAAGATAGGGGAAATCTGTGGGGGTTTTATTGATGTCACTTGCAGTTTACACGATCTCTCGCGAGTGAGGATTGTGGTGAGGAAAGGGGGCAGAATCCCTGTCTCCACTGTGGTGGAAGATGGCTACTTGAGTTATAGGGTTTGGCTGAGCCCTGAATTTCGCCCTATCTTTATGCCTGTGATAGCGACGGAAGAAAAGGGAAGGTCAAACAGAAGAGAAGGGAGGGGAAATCAGTCTCTGAGGGGAGGGGAGGGTTCACCGGATCACTGGATTAAGCCGAAATCAGACGTTAGACCGAGAAGAGACGGGAGGTTTGAAATTGGGGGAGGAAGACAAAATTATAACAGGAGAAGACGTGAATGGGTCAGTGATGCGGGCTGGAAAGGCAAAATGGGACGGTCCCCATCTACCTATCATAGGGCCGTACATGTTTTCAGCAAGTATAGGCCTGAGCCTCCTCACATGGGCCCAGCAACTTTCCCCAATTCCATTAGAATTGATCCTAAGGGGCCCAACTTGTTTCAAGCTGCGCATGATAAGGCTCCTAAGCATATGGGAACATTGGTTCCTCCTTCCTCTGGCCATGATGCTTCACACAGTGACACTACTTCACCGAGCTCTAGTGACATGTGCCCCTCTACGATGGCCGCCGCTGCGGGGGCAGAACCGGCAAAGGATGGTGCTGTTAATCCACGACCCCCTACCTCTGTCGGGCCCGGTTCCATCAACCACTCAACTGCTCCTGGGCTTAATTGTGCTGAGGACACACTCAAAGTTTCTTCTTTTTCTGGGGAGATTGGTGAGCATGTCCCAATTGATGTTAGTGTCGGACCAATATCTTCAGTTAATATGCCACCAAGGGTTCCATTCTCTCTTCCGCCACGCTACCCTACTGATGGTTCTGGACATTCCTATAGCAGCGGGGTGTTATTTTCAGAGGTTGTTGACCCCCCAGGAAATGGTGAGACCCTTTCGAAGGTTAAAACTCCTAGTGCTAGCAATGCTATGGTCTTGTATTCCTCTGGTAGTAGCAAGGAAAGGGCACATGCAGAAGAAGCCTGTCCAATTTCGTCAAGGACCGGAGGAGGGGATATGTCCTTTTGGATGGAGGACAAACTCTTAAACTTTGGGAAGTTTCTAGGTGTATCTGTTGCAGGGAAGGAAGATAGTGTGTTAGAACTGTTGAGGGAGATTGAGCAACAATCTCTTTACGATGGTGCAGGGAGGGAGTTGGGTAAATTTGTTAAGAAAAATAACCTAGGGGATGTAGTGGTGTATCAGAGAAGGGGGCGAGTGTGTGACAAAGAGAAAGGGACCTCGGCTAGGGGAGGTGGGGAAATGGGGGCTATTGTCGCTTATGAAAGTTAAAATCCTTTCATGGAATGTGAGGGGATGAATGACCCAAACAAAAGGGCCATCATCAAAGTGGGAG